CCATGAAAGTGTCCAAACGTAAGAGAGAACATCAAGGCAACGGTTTAGTGAACAGTATCATTAATAAACTTCCTATAGAATTGCACATAACAGGATATCAGCATTCTGGTCCTGGGACTAAGCTGCAGAAACGATTAGAACGGGGTGATCCTGGCATTAATCCACTTGATGTAGCCTATAAAGAATACTATATAGCCTATTCTGAGAACCGAGATAACCTAACTGCACGACACAAGGCAGACGAAGTTCTTACAGAGAAAGCCTGGAAACGAGTCTTAGCTAAAGACGCAAAATTTGGTGAGAAAGCTGCCGCTTGGGGTATAGCTAACACTATGAAGGCAAAAACTTCTCTAGGCATGGGAATGAAATTAAGTAAAGGAGTTAAGAAAAAAAAGAGGGGAAAAAAACGTCAAGGTGGTGGTGGGAAGAAGAAAAGAATAGCCTTGAGACAAATTCTACAAGCGGCTAAGACTTCTATGCGTCCTGGAAGTGATGCTATTAAAACAGCGCTCAAGGGTGCACGAGATGCAGTTAGAAGTAAAGGTGGTAGGAAGCAGGTGCGGTTACCCCGCGTCTTACCTGTTCCTGCTAAAATCGGAGGTGTATTACCTTTCCTGATACCTTTATTTGCAGGTTTAAGTGCCACCGGAGCTCTAGCTGGTGGTGCAGCAGGCATAGCAAAAGCTATCAATGATGCCAATGCTGCGAAAAAAGCTCTAGGAGAGGATAAACGACATAACCAATCAATGGAGGCCATTGCATTGGGTAAAGGATTGTACTTGAAACCCTACAAGAAAGGCTTGGGTCTTCATTTAAAAAACGTTTAAAGCTACCACACCGAGCTCTCACCGATATCGACTTGGTAAAATACGCTAAGATCATGAGAATCCCATATTTTCGTGGCGTGTATATGGGAAACGACATGCCCATATCGGGTCCACCTAAAAATGAGTCAGCAATTGTCAACCTTGATGATAAGGATGGACCTAGAACGCATTGGGTCGCATACAAGAAACGAAACAATGAAATCATCTATTTTGATAGTTTTGGTAACCTTCATCCACCTCAAGATTTGATACATTATGTCGGTGTTGGTAGCATTATTAAGTATAATCATAAACGATATCAAGATTATGATACAGTGGTGTGTGGGCATCTGTGTTTAAAATTCCTCAATGGAGAAATGATATAAAATATGACGACATTGCTCCATAGACATCAGTCAGATATTAACTACGATGAGTGACTCTTTTACGCTAACATTATCAGGCACTTCCTCAGTGCTGGAGGCTCATTACTTTCCTCCAATTGAATTATCTCCATTGAAGAACTACACTCTCGGATTGGCAGAATTATTAACATTCAATTCCATTCCCAATATTGACACAGGGAATAACAAATTTTATGTGGGTGAAAGAGTTATTGAAATACCCACGGGAAGCTATGAAATCGAGGATATTGAAAATTATTTGGTTGAGAAACTTGCGGAGTATAACATAAATATCAGCCTTAAACCCAACAATAATACTTTGAAAAGTATTATCAAATGTACTCATCAAATGGATTTCAATCGTAAAGATTCCATTGGACAGTTATTGGGCTTCACGCGTGGGATTCTCCCACCTCATATTAGTCACGAATCTGATTCACCAGTGACAATCCTTAGGATCAATTCACTGAGAGTTGAGTGTAATATTACCACTGGAGCATACATCAATGAAAAACAAGTGCACACTGTGCATGAATTCGTCCCCACTGTTCCACCAGGATATAAGATTGTTGAAGTGCCGTCGAACATCATTTACCTTCCGATAGCCGTACAGGCAATAGGTCATCTCCAAGTGAAGATTGTTGATCAAGAAGGTCAATTGGTGAATTTCAGGGGAGAGATAATAACAATAAGATTACACATCAGGGTCTGATATGGGTATTGTTTTCAATACCAAGACTGGAGGTCGTTATAAGAGCGAATCATCATCAGCAGTATCGAGCAGTCATCAACGACCTCTCGAAGCGTTAACACGGCAGAACCTAAAATTCCTCAAGAGCTTGGGTCTGAAACTCCAAAAGGAACGAAGAAAAAAAAGAAAAGTGNTATGCCTGCTACCGAGTAAGAGTGCACTGCATGTACATGGACGCTTGACCAAAACCGATGGAGGAGCTGTTACGCACACGAGATTGGTGAATTGTACGATCCTCCATCTATTTGAAGAGATACGCTATGAACTGAATGCTGTTGTGATTGATAGAAACAAAAATATCGACATCACGACACTGATGAAGAATTATGTGTCGCAAACTCCCGGTCAAGCTGGTCTCCTGGAGAATGCAGGTTGGATCCTCAAAGACGACGAAAGAACAATCCTCGATGCTAGTGGCTACTTCGACATCTCCATACCATTGAGTATGTTGTTGGGTTTCGCTGAGGATTATGCTAGAATTATTGTGAATGCAAAACATGAGCTAATCCTAACACGAGGAAACACCGACGTGAATGCAGTCGTCCAAGCACCAGTAGGAGAAGCTGCTGCTGAATCATTTAGACTCTCACTGACTAAAGTGGAGTGGATGATTCCCTACATCAGAGTAGCCGATTCCAAGAAAATCAGTCTATTGAACTACATTTCTAAGGATGCACCAATTCCCATTAGTTTCCGAGCTTGGGAATCGTACGAATACCCACTGCTGCCAGCCACCTCTAAACATGTTTGTGGGGTGAAATGCTCAACTCAACTGGAGAAACCTCGCTATGTCATCATGGGATTCCAAACTAATCGCAAGAACCAAGCTAATAAGAATGCAAGCCGCTTTGATCATTGTAATATCCGCGATGTAAAGCTTTTCCTCAATTCTCAAAGTTACCCTTATGGTAATCTAAATCTTGATATCGATCATAATCAGTACGCTTTGCTTTATGATATGTATACAAGTTTTCAGAGCTCCTACTGTGGGAAAGAAACTGAGCCACTTCTGAGTAAGACAGATTTCCTCACCTATGCTCCACTTATTGTCATCGATTGTTCAAAGCAAAATGAGTACTTGAAGTCCGGACCAGTTGATATTCGTCTTGAATTCGAGTATGATCGTAATTTTCTGGCTCAAAGTGCAGCCTATTGCTTAAATTTATATGATCGTATAGTGGAATATTATCCAATCAGTGGAGGAGTGAAAAATATGATTTAAACATGAACAATTATTAGTACGAAAAACGTTTTTTATTTTTCCATGTAACAGTTTTGATGTAATAAATTTTGTGTTTATATATATCTGCATTTTTTTTTATTTCAAAACCTTCTCTCCGATGTTCTTGAACTTTTTTTTTGAAATTGTAAGGAGGATGACGTTTTCGACTTCCATGTTGCTCACGGCGAGGACATTTTGAAGTTGGAGAACCATCATCTTCATTATCCTTTGAAGTACTGGGTACTGATTCCTCCTCCTCATCTTTCTCCATATTCAAATTGCGACGAAATTCCACAATTTTATAATTTCCTTGTAATTCAAGGAAATCTTGTAGGAAATCCCACGCTGTTGGCGGTGGATGATCACCATAGTGATTTATAATAATGTCATCGTATTCACAGACATATAGTGATATAGACGTCAGCAAATTTACTTCGTCAGCAGTCAAGTTGTGTTCATTTCGTGGTGGAATACGAATACTTTTCACCAGTTCCAAATTCTCCTTCAAATCTAGGAAGTCTTGAAGACAATCCCATGGCGTTTGTGGTGGATTCTCACCATAATGTCTAATGACAATATCATTGTAGTCAACCAAAAACGGTGGAAGTGCACACAGAAATTTGACTTCGTCTGGATTCAAGCGATTCATGATGAAGACTGATACACTCTACAGACCACTGATTTTATAAACGTTCTAGAACCAGGTATAATTCACTAACAAACTTGAGATGAACTCCCCCCACCCAGTCCTGAACTGCGCAATAGTCTGGAACGTAAACAGTTCTAGAAGCAGATATAATTCACTAGCGAACTTGAGATGAACTTCCCCCACCCAGTCCCGAACTGCGCAATACTCTGAAACGTAAACAGTTCCAGGAATTGTTGACGTACAATTGCGTGTGATGATGCAATCCAATTCTATAAAAGACTGACGAGACGCTCCAGAGAGACCATTCAGTCGTGCTCTAAACAGTACAGTGTGAAGATGGAAGCGATATTGGACGTTCAAGGATTCCAAGGTAATCAAAGTACGTTCATCGTTAAAGTGTTGGCAGTCGCCTATACCAACGATCTTCAACAGATTNCTCTAAACAGTACAGTGTGAAGATGGAAGCGATATTGGACGTTCAAGGATTCCAAGGTAATCAAAGTACGTTCATCGTTAAAGAGTTGGCAGTCGCCTATACCAACGATCTTCAACGGATTGAATGTACTCTCTTCCAGTCTCCCCATCCATGGAAAAAATTATCAGCTAAATTCAAACGCTCCAACACATGGCTCATCAAGAACTTTCACGGCATACCCTGGGAAGCTGGTGATACAACGTACTCTGAAGTGTTAGACATTATGGAGATAGTTGCTGCAAAGGTGATGAATCTCTACATCAAAGGATTGGAAAAGAAACAGTGGTTTCAGAATATTCTCTAAGGTTCAAAAACAGTGATCAATTTGGAAGATTTGGGGTGTCCAAAAATATCGGACTTGGAACTTCCGAAATGTTTAAATCATAATGATAACCATGAATCACCTCCATTTGTTTGTGCTCTCGAGAACGTGAGAATTTTACGAACCTGGTATATGAAGAACCACGGCGTTAATCTGGATAGGTCTCTAAGGATTTTCTGTAACCTGGGAAGTCTGAAAGAAATGTGTCGTCGAGATATTGTCGCCTTCCCTAAGGAATTTCTGTTGATGTTTGCCTCGGAGAGCATTGAGGAGATTTGGAATGTATTGCCTGAGAATCTGCAGGATGATGAGGATCGATTGCTGATTGTCGCAAATGTCGTTTACATCATCGACCAAATTCATCACAACCCATGAAGAAGAACTGCTTTCTGTGTAAATTCTTCAAGAACATGAGAAAAACTTATAATGAGAAGGTAAATCAAAGTTTCCTCATTTACTAACCAACCGTCGGAAAGATCAAACGAGAAAAAAATGGACAAACCTTATCAAGATCCAAAATCCACAGGCAGCAGTTGACTGGAAGAACGGCAACGGCGAACAGCAAGATTTCAACGAGAATTCGAGAAATCGAAGACCTTGGAAGGTAACAAGCCATACAATAAGGAAGCTGCTCCAGAAAAACACGGTGCTGTCGGTGATGGTCGATACAAAAAATAACCAACAAATATGGAATTTCCAGTAAAAAATTGAAACAAAAAAAAATGTAATTTTTTTATTAAAAAAAAAAATTTGTGTGAAGGGACAAAATGTATTATCCCAATAAATAAAAAAATAATAATAATTATTCCATTTCTTTCAATTTCCTCTACTTCTTGGAAAAAAATCATATTAGTTAATTAGTATTACACACATCAATCTCACTGCTGCATTCAGAAAAATCAGGATGAAGTTTTTTCAAAATCTGCCTCACCGACTTGTCTCTTCATCGCACCACTAGATGGTGCGTGTAGAAGAAGAGCGTCGCTGTATCCACTCCCCCGCCGCCCCGACCCCCTCACCCACATTTGATTTTAAGTTGCCGTAAGCATACTACTATATATTTTTCCACATTCTCCTCTTTCATCAACAGATTTTCCGCTTGGAGAACGGTCACACATTTTTCATCCTCAGCATAGTATTTACATGTTTGATTCATGTTTTCCAGCATTTCTCGTGTCACAAACGGTCTTTGAGAAATGAATTTTCTCAAGTCAATATAAGCGGCAAGATGCCACTCTGTAGTGGTGAAACGCAATCTGGCTGCCACTTCATAATGCAACCCGCTTTGACTATGAATTCCCGTGTTCAGGAAATCCACAGCCTGACAGAGTGTCACCGCGAGGACTTGTAACACAATAACCTTCAGGATCATGTTGTCTAGCTCAACAAACACACTAAACTGATGATTTTAAAGATGAGTGGAGGCTGATATAGTTCTCGCTACCCCCCACCCCCATTTTTATTTTTATTGTTCAATATTTATCCAACTGTTATGACTGCTATCGAATCCCACCCATTTAACATAATGTCTGTTTCCATTTTTTTTCAAAACTTTTTCTACAAGATATACATCTGGATGTTCCGTCTTCAGTAATTCTTCCTCATAGAAACTGCCACTAATTAATTCATTTTCATAATCCTTTAGCTTATATGTGATCGGATTGGTGTCATTAATTTCTCGAATAGTGAATATTTCAGTAGTCCAATTGGGTGTATATCCTTTCTCAAAAACATGTTTTGCTTTGCTTATACGAACTTTATCACCCACGCGAAATTTCGGTCTCCTACTGTTCACACGAAAGTCGGCGTAAATAGGGCGTAATTTTTTTGCATTTTCTGTTGTTACATTAGCAGGCCTCATACCAATAGTTCGATGTTTTCTATGGTTATATTCACGTATGAGCTCCGGTAATATATCAATCCACTTGTAATTTCCACGCAAACTGAACTGTAGCCACATTTTACTCTTCAATGTTCGATTGAATCGTTCACATTTGGACGCCTTCAAATTACTGAATGTGGAAGATAAATTGATATTATATTCTTTCATTAATGCTTGAAATTCAGAATTGTAGAATTCTTTCCCACCATCAACATGCAATTTTTCGGCACACGCCCCCGTTGGAGAATGGAACTCATAGCTCTCGTCACATCCTGAGCGTTTTTTTCTTTTTATCGGCTCAGCCCACGCATACTTGGAAAAATTGTCAATTACAGTCAGTAAAAATCTATTTCCATTATTACTCTTTGCGTAAGCCGTCATTTCCACCATATCCGCCATGTTTCATCCAGATCACGAATGTTGACTCGTCGCCGAGGATAATTTCTTCGTGCTGGACGATGTGATTCTCTCACAACATCCAATTTATTCTCCGACATTTTTGGGATCACTCGGTATTCTTTCCACTAGTCTCATTAATCTACCAATTCTTTGATTAATATCCGCACACTTGCGTTTTATATCAATTTGCAATTCGTTAATTTTTATATTTAGAGTCTTTAGTGTTACAGCATCGTGCGGGTCCACTGGTGTTGCAACATTAGTCAGCCTTTTATCCTGAAGATTATAATTACCATCTGCAGTTAGTTTATAACCAACGCCAGGTGGGCCTCGATTGTGGCAGCCACTATCAGACGTCAAGTGGCGACCAAACACGTCAACACTCATTTCGCAAATGACAACAGATGGCAATGTGCATACTCTAATATATAATCCCCGCCTCGCGAAGTTCTTCAATAATTGATATAATTTCGTTATCATGACTAGGATTTCCAGCTCTTTGTGATGCCACTAGTAATCGAAGACGGTCCACAAGTTCATTTGGATCATCCCAATAAATGTAGTCCACTCTGCTGAGTCGCTGAGCTCTCATGAAAGTAGGTAAAAGCCCCATGCCAGAGTACTTTGATCCAGCAAAATGTGAAATATATTTATCATATTTCTCACCATTCAGCTCTCGGATGCCTCCGCGAGATTTATAATTTTTTTGATGCCCATTAGTTGCAAGTATGATATTCTTATATGCATCAATATCACTCTCACTAATTAGAGTGTTATCAGGATTTTTCATGAAAAGAAGCTCCAATAATCCCTCAGTACAAGCGTATTTCATGGTTTTTACTTTAATAAATTCATCCTCAAAAAATATGGGAGAGTCTCCAATCATAAAATTATGTGTAAGTTTGCGAACACCATAAGCCTTGTCCCATTTTGTTGTGTTGATTTGTGCCAAATATTTCCCCGCAAGAGTGTTGGCATCTTCTTCTGTCTCTATCTCTTCAGTGCTGGTCTTTGAACTTTTACTCAGAATGCGTGAGCTGCCAATGGCTGGAAGTATAGTAGCATCATGTGAATTTCCCAAGGATGGAATGATAGTCTCATTCAAAGTGTAATCAAATGAAGAATCGTCAGCTGTAGTCCCATAACTGTCTTCAGAGGCATCTCTACGCGACAACATCTGCTTTGGGGTACTCCTATATCTGAGTTTTCGTTGATTCTTGTAATCAATGGATTGCTTTCTATCATCAGTCAATTCAATTTTTTGTCTACTGTCATCGAATGATTTCGCATTTCGAGCGGCTAATTCCTGAAGCGGTCTCACAATGGGTTTGAGAACTTCATTCATTGCTTCATCAACATTATCTCTGCCTAATTTCAACAGGTTATGTTTTCGTTGAATAGCTTTTCGTGCATTGGAAATTTGACGTAACAGCTCTTGTTGTTTGGACAATTCACCCTTGTGGGGGGGCATGTTGACTCGCTGGAATCTATCTCACAACTGTTTACTTCTTCCTCCCACAACTGTTATTTATTCGAATGAAACAATCGAAATTTTTCCTATATCGACCCCCATCAACGTCACTATCTTTATCAATAACTAGAAAAGTATAATTGTCTTTCCAACAGGCTGAGCACAATTCTTTGAATTTCTCGAATGACATATCTGTGTTCACATGATCGTTATAAATATGTCTCAAATTCATTTCATCCTGTTTAAATAATACGAGAAAATTGACATTGTCACGCACCAAATGTTTTGGGATGCGAGCGTATGACTGACACAAATAAAAACTGTCAACATTTTTATGTCTCCCCATACAAAAATATGCCTTGATATTATTTTGTTTCTCGCATGCCACATCGTCGAATATGAACAGTGAATGCTCTTTTGCATTATCTACCGAGACAACTTCCTCATTGTCTGAGAATGGATAATACTTCATGTCATCAAGAGGTTCCAGTAAACTTTGTAAAAATTGATATTTGGGTTGATTGAGGGACTTTGAATACACATAAATATTCGAAAACCTGAGACCATTAGGATGAATTATGAGACTCAGTAGGGCATTAGTTTTCCCACAATTTGATGGACCACAGAAAACCGCGCGAATCGTATTTGGTAGCAATTGGCCGTGACGTTTCGGTTTATTGGTATCTTTCACAGTTACTGAATCAAAATTAATGACGGGTAAACCGCTGAGATGTGTACTGAACTCCATCTTTATGACAACTGCGGCAAAAACCTATAAATTGATTGTTTTATAGCAAAAATTAGTCAGTTACGCTTCAGACATGATTGTGCACAGATCGCGCGCTAGCAGAAAGGGGAAAGGATTGTTAACCCTTAGCGGCCACAGGGGGTACGTACGTACCCCAGGCTCGGGAGAAGTGGATTTTGAGGTCCAAAATTTTCAAAATTCGTACAACTAATGACATCTGTCAGTAGAAAAGAGGTCAGGCTATCCATTCCAGTCAGTAGAACTGAAAAATATTGAACGATGGCGCTGTGAGCCATTTTTTTCTCCAGCTGGGGTACACACGTACCCCAGTATGGCCGCAACGTTTATTTGGTCATCACATGTGGGATTTTTTTTTTTCCAATTGAGTTTTTGTGATTCCGATAAACAAATCAAAGGTAAGTTTGTGATAAAAAAAAAAAAATTTTTTTTAATGTGTTTTTTAATGAAATTTAGTCTGTGAATAAGAGAAATGAGCTGCAATTTGACTAAATATTGTGTACCTTCATTGTACACGTGCATTTTAGGTTAGGAAAATGTATTACACATGTATATATGTACACTCATGTACATATATATATATGTCTAATGAAAATTAAACATTAAAAATTGCAAATTACTCATAAATTCATCATTTTTCTTAGATGTACAATTTTCGGACGAGAGCTAAACGAGCAGAATTATTGGATAAACCTGATGATGATCCCAGTGATTGTGAAGTACAGTCTGACCCAGGCTCCGAACAAAATTTATCAGACGTGGGTGACAGCGACAGCAGTTTTTTCGACGAAGATGACCTCCAAGACGCAATTGAAACTGAACGGGCTTCAACATCTCGTAAACGTCCAGCAGGCAAAAATCTAACTGGAGCTGCTCCTGAAAAATCGGGTAAACGTGGTCGCCCATGCAGTAAATTATATGGCAAAAATAAATTTGCTTGGGAAACGAGAATCGTCGAACGAAGATCAGATCGTATAACCATTGATGCAGTTCCGTATGAAGCAAGCTTGGCGGATGAAGCTGTCAATTTGAATTCGCTGGAGGAGTTTTGGGATCTCTTGCTCAATCGAGAAATTATTGACATAATCGTTCAAAACACGAATGCAAAAATCGAAGAGGTTTGTGCTCCACTGATTGCTGAAGGCAGAGCACAAACGTACCACCACCACACTGACGCTCTTGAAATCAGAGCCTATATCGGTGTTTTGTATTATGCTGGATTATGGAAGTCTTCTCATGTGGACAACAACGAGCTCTGGGATAAAAAAAACGGAATCTACTTCTACAGGGGTGTCTTTCCTCGAATGCGGTTTGAATTTCTCCAGTCTTGTTTGCGTTTTGATACACGAGAGAATAGAGATCCAGATGACCGATTTTCGCCAATCAGAATGATTTGGTCCATTTTCAACAATAACTGCAGCAAGTATTACAATCCAAGCAGTCAATGTACTGTTGATGGACAATTGCTTGGATTCAGGGGCCGCTGTGTATTTCGAATGTACATCAAATCTAAACCGGACAAGTACGGATTGAAGCTGATAACTCTCAACGATGCTTCAACCGCCTATCTGATCAACGCTATCCCGTACCTGGGTAAAAACATGGCCCTTGATAATCCCGAGAAGATTCCCAGCGGAGAGTACTTTTTTCAAGCCGTAACGGCTCCAATTCACGGCACCAATCGCTCAGTGACGTGCGACAATTGGTTCACTACGATCCCTCTCTTGAACAGAATGTTGAAAGATCCCTTCAAAATGTTTCTGACTGGAACTATCAGGAAAAATAAACGTGAGATTCCTCTGGAGATGAAAGTGACGTCAAAAAATCCCCCCGAGACCAAATTTTGTCACACCAAACAGATCACTCTGCTCTCCTACACACCGAAGAAGAACAAAATCGTCTTGGTGGCTTCGACTTATCTTCATACCCGAGAGATAACGGATGGCAAGCCGAATATCATTCTGCATTACAATGATACGAAAGGAGGGACGGATACCTTCGATCAATTGTGCCACGCCTACACAGTCTCTCGCAGAACGAACAGGTGGCCGATGCGAATTTTCTTCGGGATGCTGGATCAAGCAGCAGTAAACGCACATATTCTGTGGAAACTCAAAGCTGGTGACACTCCAGAATCCACTACTGCGATCACTGTTCTAAAAAAATTGATTGATCATCTCACCGTACCCATGCTTCAAAAGCGATTGACCGAACCGTGTCTGCGAAAAGAGCTGCGAATGGTCATCACAGGCCTTCTCAAAATTGACAATGAACCTTATCTGGACCACCTGCGTAAAGTCTACTTTGAACCTCCACGAAGGTGCATGGAATGCACTCGGAACAGAGACAAGAAATCCCGCTACGGGTGTTGGGCTTGCGAGAAGGTGCTCTGCGACGACCATCGCATAACACTGTGTCCGAGTTGTGTTGGTCAATGACTCGAATTAATTATTTCTAATGTCGTGAACTCCTCCATTCAACATTTTTTCACCTTTTCAAGCATAAATATGTATTTAAAAAAATTTAAAAAAATAAAAAAATGAAAAAAAATTTGGCAATGTTTTAATTTTTTTCGCCAGTAATTTTGCAAAATAAATATGGTTTTTGAACAATCGGCTGATGGTGATATTTTTTTACGGTAGTGACATATCTTGTGCATACCATCCCAAAAAATTAGACCTTAATATTGAAAAATGGCGGAGTTATGATTTTTTTTTTGAAAAAAGTGCTTTTCCCAGGATTTTGACCTATTTGAGCAGTTTTCACAACGCCATCTATGATTTAATCAACTCGAATCATCAGAAAAGTTGAAAAACTGTTCAATAAACATGATTCAAGAAAAAAAAAATTTTTATATTTTTTTAAATTAGTTTAATTGCCATTTTTGTACGTGGGGTACAGGCGTACCCCGGTGTGGCCGCTACGTGGCGAGATCGAGGTGTGGCCGCTAAGGGTTAAACAACGTCATCAACAATCTTCCCATTGAATTGCATTTGCCAGGCTACCAGTAATGTGGACCAGGCACGAAATTAACGAAAAGATTAGCTCGAGGAGATCCTGGGATTAATCCACTTGATGCTGCTTGTAAAGCGCATNGAAAGGATTGTTGAACAACGTCATCAACAATCTTCCCGTTGAATTGCATTTGCCAGGCTACCAGTACTGTGGACCAGGCACGAAATTAACGAAAAGATTAGCTCGAGGAGATCCTGGGATTAATCCACTCGATGCTGCTTGTAAAGCGCATGACATTGCCTACTCAAAAAATCGTCAGAATATTTCAGCACGACACGAAGCTGATAAAGTACTTGCAGAGCAAGCTTGGCAACCCGTTTCAGCATCAGATGCCAGTTTGGGGGAAAAGGCAGCCGCTTTATTGATAACGAACACTATGAAAGCTAAAACAAAATTAGGCATGGGTGTGAAAAAATCAGGCACGGGTGTGAAAAAATCAGGCGTTGCCATGAAGACTAGAAAAAAATCAGGTATGGAAGTGAAAAAACGTGTGGCTAAGAAGAAGAAGAGGTGAGGGAAACTTAAAAAGCGAGTCACAATTGGGGCAATCAGCAAAGCTGCCAAGAAGTCAATCAAATTGAATAATGGGTCACATGATGCTATTAGAACAGCACTCAGTGGTGCAAGAGTAGCCATCAAACAGGTTGGAGGGAGAAGTAGAGTTACTATTCCACGAGTTATTCCTGTTCCATCAAAAATTGGGGGAATCTTACCATTTCTCGTGCCATTATATGCCGGATTGAGTGCCACGGGGGCATTAGCTGGAGGAGCTGCTAGAATTGCTAAAGCTGTGAATAGTGCCAAAGCCGCCAAACAACAACTCACCGATAATAAGANATAGTGCCAAAGCCGCCAAACAACAACTCGCCGAAAATAAGAGACATAATGAAACTATGGAGGCTATCGCACTCGGCAGAGGTTTACATCTTAAACCTTATAAAAAGGGAATGGGCTTGTATTTGAAGCCAAAAAACTATTAAAGATGCTACCACGCAGGGCTCTGACTGACGGGGATATTGGAAAGTATGCAAAACTCATGGAAATTCCCCATTTCCGTGGTGTTTTCATGCGCAATGATCTAGCGAAAAATGGTCCATTGAAAAATGAGTTAGCCATCATCAATATGGATGACAAAAAGGGTCCTGGAACTCATTGGGTTGCCTACAAGAAAGTGGGGAACGATGTCACCTATTTCGATAGCTTCGGGAACCTGCAACCTCCTACAGAACTCTTCAATTACCTTGGAGTTGGTAGCATAAAATATAATCACGAACGTTTCCAGAACTGGAATACCTTCAATTGTGGACATTTATGTTTGGCATTTCTCAATGGATGCCTATATAAGAGCAAACGTTGATGACTATTACTCAGTCGATGTTCAGAAATCATGGGTGATTCATTCACATTAACAATCTCAGGGCTATCATCCGTGTTGGAGGTGTAATATTTTCCACCAATAGAACTTTCTCCTCAGAAGAATTATGTTCTTAGACTCGTGGAATTTTTAACTTTCAATTCCATTCCAAACGTTGATACGAGCAATAATAAATTGCACATAGGTTATACAATCCTCACCATTCCGACGGGAAGTTACGAGATCGATGATATTGCAAAATTTATTGTAAGAAGTGTGGAACAGGATAATATTGATATAAAAATCAGAAGTAACAATAACACGTTACGGAGTGAAGTGTCATGCAATAAGGATTTGGACTTGAGGCCTGTAAATTCGATCGGTCGTCTCCTTGGTTTTACCCCTAGAGTTTTAGAGGCCCATAAAACTCATCAGGCTGATCAGCCTGTAGCCATTCTCAAAGTGAACGCTCTACGAGTGGAATATAATATCACCACTGGAGCATACAACAACAGTGATAAAGTTCATACAATTCATGAATTTTTTCCTGTGATGCCCCCTGGATATAAAATTGTCGAAGTACCATCGCAAGGTATGTATTTACACCTGTCTGTTAAAACGATAACCGATTTACAACTCCGAATCGTTGATCAAGACGGGGACTTGGTGAATTTTAGAGGCGAAACAATTACCATCAGGCTACACATCAAATCTATTGTATAATCATGGGCATAGTATATAATCGTAAGATTGGCTACTCCTATAAAAGCCCCCAATCATGCCTCGCTTCAATCACTTCGCATGCTGGTTTCAAGGGGTTAACACCTCAGAACGTGAAGTTTCTCAAGAGTCTCGGTCTGGCCGTAAGAAAAAGTGGAAAAAACGTTTTTGTCAAGTAAAAATCTTATTCGCCTGTTGTATACCATGGAGGAAAGCCTGAATATCAAACTCCCCACGGTGTCTGAAGATTCTATCGCTCACTATGAGATCCATGCACATCAACCATATACCTCGACGGCACTGGATAATAGCGATGAAATTCGCATCACTGTACAAAATCAAGATCTCTGTATTTTACCAAGTAAAAGTTACTTGCACATCACGGGTAAATTGCTCAAATCGGACAATGCCATCTCTACAACTACAAGCTTCGTGAATAACGCCATTTGTCATCTATTCCAAGAGATCCGCTATGAAATTAATGCTATTGAAATTGATAAAGTGAAGAACGTAGGGATTACTACTGTCATGAAAAATCTCGTGTCATTAACACCAAATCAAAGTATCTCAATGGAAAATGCCGGATGGTTGGGTGTGCAAGAGAAATTGAGTTTAACTGATGGCAATGGTTGCTTTGACATCTCCATCCCATTGGGCATGTTGCTGGGATTTGCTGAAGATTATCGGAAAATCATGGTCAATGTGAAACATGAGTTGATTTTAGTCAGAGCTCACCATGATAACAATTCTTTGATTCAAACCGCCAAAGAAGATGTGAAGATCAATTTTATGAGAATTGAGTGGATGGTTCCATATGTGTCATTATCGGATACTAAGAAGATTGAGTTGCTCAATTTCATCCAGAAAGATCCCGCAATATCGATGAGCTTCAGATCATGGGAATTATATGAGTATCCAATGCTTCCAGCGACAACAAAACACGTGTGGACGGTGAAAACCGCAACTCAGCTTGAGAAACCACGTTATGTCATTCTAGGCTTCCAAACAGATCGAAAAAATAGAAATAAGAAAAATGCTCGCAATTTTGATCATTGTAGTATCATCAATGTGAAATTATTCCTAAATTCCTAACGTTATCCATATGGAAATTTGGATGTAGGCATGACTAAAAATCAGTATTCGATACTATATGACATGTATTCAAACTTTCAATCATCATATTATGATCAACAATAATCCATTGTTGATAAAAGTAAAATTTGCCGCGATTACACCCCTGGCAGTCATTGATTGCTCTAAACAAAATGAATCCTTGGAATTTGGACCTGTGGATGTCCGCCTGGAGTTTGAAACAAAAATAAGATTTTCTCCGGAAACAGCTGCTTATTGTCTCATTTTGCACGATCGAGTAGTACATTACAACCCGATAAGCGGAGGAGTAAGAAAAGTAATCTAAAGAGGAGGAGGGGCGAGAGGGGTATAAATTCTCATCACGATAGAAATATTTCATCAGTTGCGATGGAGGTGCTCGTGGACGTACAAGGTTTCCAAACGCTCTCCAACGAGTTCATCGTGAAAGAATTCGGATACACAGTTTTGGATTCTGGTGTAGGATACCCTAACGTTTGGTTTTTCAAGCCCCCATGGAGATTCTCCAGTTTATCAGCGAAGTATAGGAGGGTAGCTTTGTGGCTTGAGCGTCATCATCATGGATTACCCTGGAACTATGGGAATAGATCATACGAGCAAGTTGGACAATTAGTGCAAAAGTGGGAAAATATTGGTAGAATTTATGTGAAAGGTGAAGAGAAAAAAGAGTGGTTGAAAAACATTTCAGGTCCTGTATTAGCACCGCTAGTAGTTAATATTGAAGAAATTTTCGATGATTGCCCATCACTAGCCAAATTCAAAGATTTACCATCTCGTACTTGTCCATTTCATAGTTATAGAGGCGACAACAAGGCATGTGCCTTAAAAAATGTGTAGGTAATCAAAAACTGGATGATGAAGAAAAGAATAGTACGATCACTAGATCGATCCTTCAATATTTACTACAAATTGAACAATTTAAATTTGATGGATTGTGAAGATATTGCATATCTGCCACATTCATTTATAAGTTTCGTCGCTGTATGCCATGTTGATCAGTGTTGGGACAAGTTGACTGATACTATGAGACCTGATTGGCACATCAAAAGATGTAGACGTTGTTTGTAGCACTATCAGACTGTCGAGGGTGATACTTTTGATGGACCACCACCTATGATAAGGGATTGTGTTAAATGTAATAATTCTTAAGAAAAAACAACAAAATATGTTTAATTATTATATTTATTAATGTATTTCTTATATACTATTACATTCGTTATAATCATATAAAAATCATTA